TTTTTGAGAGAAAAGACATGGGTTTAGCAAATTGTATGATTTGTGCTACGAATACTTTTCGTATGTTCTTGCTCTATCATAAGAGTTTTATACTATAAATGCTCATGTGGAATTGTAATTGTGATCATATAAGTCTTCATAAATGTCCAAAGATTTCATAAGTGCATAAAGAAATATCCAGAGAACCATATCTAGTACGATTAAAAGTTAGGAGATAGAAGTATACTATGATATATACACAATGGTCATGTCATGGATCTAATCAGTAGACATCAATATTATCTTTAGAAAATGCATTGTGATACCTGAATGGTATATTTGTCAGTTATTCTATTTCGTTGTCAAACGAATAACTTGTGATTGTAATAGATATACAATTGTTGACTAAGATGAGAGTCAGTCGAGCATAATTAGTTTTTTGACTTGTGCATTTTTGCTATATAGAGTAGCAAGAAGCATATGTTGTAAATGTATATCTTGGCAGCTAAAGAGATTGTTTGGTATGGATGTATTGAGCACCTAATGATACTGGTTGAGAATATGAGATCCATGATAGTTACGCAACTATCTTATATGTTAAGATCTCAAGTATCAAGATGAAACCAAACAATTAATGATAATTCTATGAGAGCCATTAGCAAAGAAAGTGTCTTTGTGATATATCTACGTAAATGATGATATGTAATAATCATACTCTAAGATGTCTAGAGATATATTTGTTGATAATATAGAATTTCGTAGAATATGATGCTTGGTGTATCAAATAAACTCTTGATTGAGTTTTATGTGCCCATAGATAAATAATTTTGAGTTCATGTGTAATCTAATGTTGGGATTATGAGATAAATGATTTGTATGCACATATAAAGTATGTCAACGGGTTGAGATTGGCTCACTCACATGAGCAATCGCCTCAGACGTTTTGAGATGTACTGAGATGAGACAAAATGATCATGTTGTGTACATGATCCTGTGGCCTTGATAGTGATCATGTTGTGTACATGATCCAATCGCCCTGTTAAGGTATCAAGATGAGATTACAACAAGTAATCGAAATGAATTTTTCTATCCATTAAACCCGTTTAGTAGCCAGATCGAATTCTCAATTTGAGAATGCTTGGAAAATGAATATAAGGAGAACTCAAGTTAGATATCGAGAAATATCTGAACTATGATTTGTTCGATGTATTTAATTTGCAAGATTAGACATACGCCCTGAGAAAGGGAGAAAACATCGTAACACGTGTTTCATACCAAGTGTGCTTTAACGACCAATGAGAAATGAAAGAATTGATCCCTACTTCTTCATTGTGTGAGTCTCTGTTGCACATTTGACCTCACTTATATATACCCTTATAACTTTTGACCGTTTCTCAAAATTTTATTTCAGTGTTACTATTTTAGCATGTTGTCAATAATTATGATTGATTCGGTTTGATGGGACATGTCTAGGAAAGCAGCTGACTTGAAATGAAGGGATTCAAGTAGGAAAGGAAGACTATTTAACTAACACCTCAACTTGTATTCACCGGCTGGACAATTGTGTTAATTATTTGAGTTTTGTGACACAATTGTGAATACAATATAAATGAGAAAGTTGAGTATGCTCTAAAATGAATTGAGGGGTCAGAAATACTCGAACTGGTGTTACAAAATATATCTGGGGTATAGTGAGAAGTATAATACCTCTTCTAGAGCTGCTATATATCCCTAACAGGTGAATAATGTTGTGTGCTCTTAAATTAACTCGCTGGTCGCACGATCCATTTACCTATATGAATTTGGAGATATTGAGATTAATATAATTGATATTATATTATAATCATGTCAAGCTCATCATGTGCGAGTAGGAGATGTTAAAAAAATGGGTCGCCTATGTGAGTTGACCCGATTCGATTTGCATGGAAATGAGTTTTGGAGGAAGGAGTTGAAAATTGAATTTAAAAGTTAACCTCCCCACTTCCAAAAACTCTAATCAACTTCCATTATTCATCTCTCTAAAATGCAAACAAAGGAAATTCGGGTTAAAGGGAGTGGAAGAAAAATACATGAGGAAGAAGACTTGATTTTTGGAATATAACATCTCAAATTGAGTTCTTGGATTGTGACTATCAAATTCCTTCCATTGTGATCGAATGTCTGACCAAGAGGCAGGTACAAGATGGTGTGGAAAGCAAGCGAATCAAAGGCAAGTAATTCAACCTCGATTTTGTGATTTCAAGTAAGTATCACTACTTGGAACTCGGTTATAAGCATGCAAGCACGTTTTACAATTTCTTAGTAAGAATGGGTGCCTAAATAGTAGACACAGGTAAGAAATAAGAGAATATTAAAGATTCGAGCCATAGAATTCCTACAAACTTTTGTTGATACACTAACAGCGCCTAGGGGGTGGTGTTGATGTGATAAGAGACGACCGGCTCCTTCAAAAGCAGATATCAACTAAAGGGTATGCAAAATGGATGATTAATCGGACAAATGCACTCAAAATTCATGCTGGTGTGTGTGAACTAGACTATATCTGGGGTTTATCGACAATGGAACATCGTGGCACCTCTGTGGCATATTAGCATGGAATGACATCATTGATTTAGTTTTTATTAAGGACACACTTCTTACAAATTCTCTTGTTCCTCATGATTCCGGGTTGCAAATGAAGTGGAAAACCTATATGATGCCTTCAGAGTTGCTTGTTCCCATCTAACTCCCCAGTTCTTCAGAACCATCACCAGTGCAGTTGCAGTTGCAGTTGCAGTTGTACGAACCAGCTATGAATTAAGCTCTTTTCACAGATGAAATGTACAGAAAACATTACAAATGTACAGGTGGTAACATTGCATTAGCTGGTTGAACTGTGTTTTCTGTCCAACGTCCAATTAAATCTTGAAAGTTAGCAACCTATCAAAAATACTGTCAATCATTTTTGTACATGTAGCAAAAATTGCTGGGATATACATCTCAGTGAATATATTTATCTCAAAATGAAGCTCCTTGTATAAATAAAATGTATAGAAATCATTACGGATGTACAGATGGCTACACATCATTGGCTAAATTTTTTTGTCCAATAGCCAATTAAATCTCGACAGTTGGCAATCTGTTCGAAAAATTGTTAACCATTTCCGTACATATAGCATGATTGTTTAGCTCTACGTAGTTGAAGAACTATGTATAATTCACCGTGACTATATACAGTCTAATCCTGAGCTTATAATCGGTGACGCAATTCATTTTTTGACAGTTTTCACAGGTGGTAAGAGTATTGATGAAGAAGAAGCTGCACGCAAAGCCACTTATAGAAACTTATATTAAATACATGGAGGCAGATAGATTTATATAGGTTTAAAATTTTGGAATGTTGTAGTTGAACATCAAATTAAGTGTACAATTTCAAAGTCAAATGTGCAACTGAATTATGAAAAGAAAATTTAATTTTAAAAAAGATAACAAACTGACAGACAGATGAGTAGAAATCATCCCATTTCATTTCTTGGCAAAGAGGCCACCAAGCCCAAAACCACCATCTCCACCATTTTTCTTCTTTGGCGGAACTGCGACGGAGTTTTTGGCGGTGCTGCCATTCTTCGCTTCCACCTTCTTCAAGATTGGATCAGTCTCATAGAACTGGTCTTGTTTCTGTAATGCCCCAATGATCCAATCTAGCGGTCCCTTCTCCTCACTGCCACCGCCGGATGACTTAGCCGCCGTGGCTGCAGTTCTTACTCTTCTTTGGGTGGCGACTATCGGAGTAAAGAATAAGTTCAAAGAAGCCATCTTGGTAGTCCTCTTCTCTGTTTTGTGTGGTATTACAATCTCCAATTGACTGAATTAGAGCTGTTATAAATTGTGCAAGAGAAATGCTTATGTTTTGGGCACGCACTCTCCACAAGTATATTATCTTCGTTTTTCTCCTTTTTTTCTTTTCTTATTTTTATTTGCAGGAATTTTCATAGATGGTAAATCTCATCCAATAAATGATCATCTTGGAAGGATAAGGCTTCAAGTTTGACACGTGGCAGAACTTCCCCCATGACTCATTACTGATTTATTTAGACCGGACATTCATTTACTCCTTTAATCCCAAAAAAATATGTCAGATTACCCTTTTCGTCCATCCTAAATTATAGGTTTCTTTTTTTATTAAAAGTATATATGTTTTTTTGGTAGAAACAAGTCTTATCTTTATGGGACGAAGGAAGTAACATTTTAGACATGACTCCAATATCAATATATGAACTATGCCAAAAATATGTGAACTATGGCTAAGGAAAAATGGATACGATAAATATTTTGTTGGAAAAATTGGTTTTAATTAGTTGGTTTGACCAACTTTTGACCAATTAATTTAGTGGGTCCCGTTAATCGGAAATAAGATTTCTTTGACCAAATGTGTTCTACTCCACGATTAGATTAATATGGTATATTTATTTTCTCAAAACCAATTTAGGGTGAATGAGAAATTAAGGCCAAAAAATGCCCACTTGATGTTGAAATAAAATAGGTGGGAAATTGGAAAATACCAATCCCACATAGGAAAACTAGAAGGATATAAACCACCTTATATAGTTCAAATTTGGGATTTGGGTTTGGACCCCAAGGGGTACCAATAGTCTTTGAATGGTCACGAGTCGTGGATCTTGGGCTTGGGCCAATCTGATATATATTTTTTGGTAAAATAACATTTAATTATATTATTTTATTATTATAATAATAATAATATATTTTATGTTATTAATTTTTTTTCCTTCCCCGAATTTTCTGCGTGTGACACGTGGTACGGTACTTCTAGAATTTAGCCGGTTGACTGTCGAAGTGGCGATTGACTGTCCAAGTGACGGTTGACTGTCCAAAGTGGCGGTTAACTGTCCAAACAGTTTGTGTCTTTTGGACACAACTTTTCGGCAGTTGTGTCTGTTGGGACACAACCTTTCAACATTTATAAATAGGCTCCCATACCCCGATTTTTATTCATTTCAAAAATCAGAATTGATTTTCTACTCTCCCGAAATTATCCCTTTGTCCTTGCATAATTTCTGTTTTATAATTCAGTCCTCGAAAATTACTTTTCGTGCATTTCAGTCTTCTAGTGTGTGTGGAGAGATCTAAACTTTACGGGTTCGTCGGGTCTTGTAATTTGGAGTACTACTATTACAAGACGAAGTCGTTGTATCTTGGGAAACGAGTGCTGCAATACCGTTAGTACCAGTGCGAGGCATTATCGTTTTAAGGAGAAAGAGTCGAACTCTTGCCTCGACCGTTCAAAACCATCCAAACGTCGTTACTATGCCCAAATATAAATTACGGTAACACTATTCTTTGCTATTATTTTTCAACATATTTGTAGTGAGTTAAAATAAACTTTTGGGAATAAAGGGCCTTGGCCTCACAATTATGAAAGTTGGTCGATTTTTCTTGATTATAAATTTTATTGGCGTCGTTATAGCCCTGTAAAATGAGAGAAGCATTTTGGCAGTCTCCATCATCAACTTCCTTCCCAAAATTGCCATATTTTATGATTGATGATGGCGTAGATCTCCATTGAAGGTGGTGATAAGTGGCTGAGAGACTCGCAATAGTGGCTTGACTATGGCGAAATACATGGAAATAGCCTTTAAAAGATGGCCACTTTTTCAAAATGACATTTGGTCAATTTACATACCAAAAATGCCCTTCATTTGGCTATTACATAATAAGACACTATAATATAGAAATCCTCTATTTGAGTCCTTAAAATTAAATATTGTTGAAATTTGATAGTTTTTATTTGATTTATTTGATTAATACTTTTAATTTGATTTATTTGATTTTTCTTCGCTCTAAGTAGCCCCCTCTCTTATTGGTATCAGAGCCATAGAGATTATGAGAAAACTTATAAAAAATAGATTACTTGAAGAGGTAAAAATCTTTAAATTTAAATTAACACTTAGATTTTATATAAGTTTAATAAATAACAGATTAACTATTAGAAAATTAAAGGAATATTTAGATTATATATCTTTAAAATAATAATTGATTACAATACACAAATATTTACATCTTGATAAAAGCATAGAGATCATGAAAATTAAAATAAAAATAAAAAGATAATTATTGGCGTTTAAAAGAAGAGAGAGGAAGTTATATATTTTTAAAACCTATTCATAATAGATTAAAAATAATGACACTAACAATAATTAAAGAGTTGCCTAGAGAAATAAATGAACAAATATTAGAAAAATTAATAATAGAAAAAATAAAGGATATATATACATATGAAAAAATTATTAATATATATGAAGATGAAGAAAATAATTTATATTACAAAGAAAAGTATGAGTACAAGTGATAATACACATTTAAAATTGAATAAATTACTTATAAAAATGAAAAAAATACAAGAGGAAATACGAAATATAATGTTAATACCAAAAGGAATGAGAATATCAAATAATAGACAATTAATAAAATTAAAATGTGAAAGATTAAGACTTGAGAGTAGATATTTTACTATAGTAAAAGAAGAATTAGTATATCCAGATATAACTGAGAGAATATTTGAAAAAATAATAGATAAAAATGAAGATAAAAGATGCAAATTAACCTATAAGTTAAAAATAAGAAAAAATTAAGATGTCAATAAGTGAATATATGGAAGAATTAAAATCATTAATAAAAATGTTAATAAATGATGTACAAGAATTAAGAAATGAAATAAAAGAAACAAAAAACAATATAAATATATTAAAAATTGAAATTAGAGAATTAAAAGAAAATAATAAAAATAAGGATAAGAAAATAGACAAAAAAACTTATAGAAAAAGAAATGACTCGAACAGGAAAGAAACATATAAAAAAAGGAAATATAGTAATAGAAATAGGAAGTATAGATGATGAATTTAGAAAAAAAAATATTACCATAAATATTAGAAGAGAAAGAAAAATCTAGAGAAAAATCATTAGGAAAATTAAAAGTAGAAAAAAAAGATAAAAAATGAATGAAAAATTAGATTTATTAATAGAAAATTTTGATCAATTAAGTTTAACTGATATAAGTGAATACAATTTTTAATAAATACTGGAGGAAAACTTAATCCAGCAGGAACCTCTAAACATGAATTATATGATACAGATAAAAGTTATGCACCTATATATAATAAATCATATAGACAATTCTATGATAAAGTAAGAAGTAGACAACCACATAAAGAAAATAAATATAAAGATAGATTTGATTTAAATGATAATTATGATAAACCAATTAATCATGAATGAACAAAACTAGATTTAAATTGTAAAATAGATACTAAAAAACTTTATTAATTTGGGCAGATTCAATGATACTATTATTTTTATATAATAAAGATGACATGTGGGAAAGTACTGAAAGAATAATAGATTTCTTAATAGCATCATTTGAAGGAGATGTTAGAAATTGATGGGAATGAATAAGCAATGATACAAAAACATTAATAAAAAGAAATGTACAAATAGAAATAATAAAGTCAGATAGACAAGGTATAGAAAAGTTAATAGAGTATATTTCAAATGAATTTTTAGGAGAAAATTGGATAAGAAATTCTGAAAAAGAATCAATAAGAGAAAAAAATAATGCTAGAATAAAATTAATAAATTTAACAATATGTAATATGTGTAAAATTAAAAAATATACTTGTGACTTTAAATATTACTATTATGTTCAATTTTATAGTAATGAAAACCAAGAAGTATACCAAGACATGTACTATAATAAGTTACTAGGTTCATGGGGAATATATTTTAAAATGAAATTTGAAAAATATGTTAGAGATAATATTCGAATACCTAGAACTTTAGGCTCAAGAATAAAAAATTTATTTGAAAAACTTGCATATATATGTCAACAAAGACAATTAATGAAAAAATCAGAAAAATTAACTAAAATATGTTGTGAAGATATGGAAACCCCTGGGGATGTAATCCTAAAAAAAATTAATAAAAGAAAGTATAAAAATAAAAAATTTAAAAAATTTAGGAATTTTAATAAAAAAATATATAAAACCTAGAAAAAGATATTATAAAAGAAAAAATAACTCATATAATCAACAAAAGAATAAAAAAAAAAATAAAAGTCAATGTAAATGTTGAAATTGTGGAGAAATGTGTCATATAAGCCCTGATTGTGATAAAAAAAAAAGTTAGAATATCACAAAAGAATATTTAGAAATAAAAGATGAATTAAGTGAAATATAAGATATTGAAGAATACTATAATCAAGAAATATATATAAGTGAAACAGATGATGAATCAGGATCTAAATAGAGAAATTGAGGAAATGGAAAGTAATAATATAAATATACAAGAATATGAAAGAATAGAAGGATATGGTTTAAGAGTCACTTTTAATAATAACAAGTTTCGAAAATTACAAAAATTATCTTTAGACTTAAAAATAGGAAAATGGGAAGTCTTTTATAAATTTTGGAAAAGAGAAAGAATAGCAATAAATAAATATTACAAAATAGAAAAAATTATAAATGTAAGAACAATTTATGGACAATATAAATTAAATCTTTTAACAAAAAATACAGTTGAAAAACTATTAACAAAGATTAGTAAAAAATAAAGTGAAAAAATCCAATATATTTATTTAGTAAGAATACAAATAATGTTTAAATCACTATTTAGAGAAGGGATAGCCTCACCCTTAACTATAACTTTACATGATGGAAAAATAATAAATTTAGAAGATAGTCATTTAGAAATAGTAAAAAGAAATTTAGCATATCAAAAAAATTATGTTTACGTGTTATTCAAAATATTGTGTATCATTAAAAGATATAAACTTTAATGAAAATTTAGGACTACATTTTAATTTTCATAGAGATGATATCGTGCAACCAGGTGATCAAATTATGACTATAGAATATAGACCTTTAGAAACATTTACTAATTCTAATTATGGGAA